GAGTGATATATATATATATCTTCTCTTGGGCTTTGCAAGAAATGTATCCTATTGGTTACCAGACTCCCAGGGGGCTATGCGTGTATCCAGCTAACCTTGTAGGCTGTCTTGTGTCCCAGGTTTGGTTGAATCTTGCTGGGTGATGATGTAATGAAGAGGGTTGTGTTCTGAAAGCGTGTTGGGCAATTCCTATTTAGGGCTTAATGGCTTTGTCCTGGTTTGGATCTTGAGTGAGGGCTAATCCTATCACCCTGGAGCTGAAGGTCTTTTGTCTTGTAGATAGGATAGCCCAAAAGGTGGGGGCCACTTCCCAAGAGCATGTTTCTCCTTTTCTCCTCCAGGGGCGGGGGTATAATATCCTGCCTTTTTAATATTCCCTAGAATATTTCATTCATCTAAGAGAGGGTGGGTATTAACTTTCTACAAACCCCTATACCATTTCAGACAAATGGTTGTCCAATCTCTTCTGAAAAATCCCCAGTGTTGAAGCACTCACAACCTCCTGAGGCAAGCTGTTCCGCTGATTAATTGTTATAACTGTCAGGAAATTTATTCTTAGTTCTAGGTTTCATTGATTAATTTCCATCCATTGTTTCTTGTCCTGCCTTCTGATGCTTTTGGAGCAGTGGTGGGATTCAATTTTTTTTACTACCAGTTCTGTGGGTGTGGCTTGGTGGGCGTGGCAGGGGAAGGCTACTGTAAATTCTCCAGTCAGAGGTGGTATTTGCCGGTTCTCCCAACTACTCAAATTTTCCGCTACCAGTTCTCCAGAACTGGTCAGAACCTGCTGAATACCACCTCTGCTTTGGAGAAACCAACCAAGGAACCCACAATCCATGTAGATCTTTGATCATCGGAGATGCCTTCAGAGCAGGCTAGATACCTAAAACTGTGCTTGTCACAATCAAGCAGCTAAGCCTCAATCACAGCAGAGTGAACACAACAGTGCTGGCAGAATACTTAATAGTATTCTGTTAGAATAGTATCAAGCATTGCGATCTGAAAAGTTAAGCAGATGAGAACTCTATTAACTCCGGAGACTTTTTCCCGGTGAAGCTGAAAGTTCATACCCACAAAATAAAAATGTTTGGGCCTGTTATCAGCCTTAGGATGATAGGGCAGTCATTGATTGATGATCCATTTAGCCTGAAGGAATGTGCTCAGCCAGGGTAAGAGGGCAGTTGGCTGACTGACTTATGGCACATTTGATGTGTTGGTTGGTGGTCCAGGTTTGTTTCCTCATGGGAACTAGGTTCATTCATGGAAGCTCTACCAACAGGATGTAGCCTATGCTGTTGCTGATAGCCCAATATAGGGAAACCCTGAGGTAGCTTTCCTTGAGGGAAAGTGACTGTGAAAATATTGGTAATAAAAATAAACAGCTCTCATAAACTAAGAGACAAGGAAGATGTGATTATGTTCAAATGTCAGCAGCCCAGCTTTGTCTCTGTTAGCATTTGATTCCACCCTAAATAACTCTAATTGTTTATTAAGTGACCTTGGTGTTCCTGCCCTTTGTAACCCCGTCTGGCAGGCCGCTGCACACATTTATTATTCTCTGAATGAAAGGGCGCTTCCCAACATCTGTTCCACATTTGTTTTCCTTTAATTTCCTTGAAGCCTTTCCACCCCATCTCCCCATTCTGTTATCTAAGCTGGCCTGAATGGGGTTACTACAGAGCTATTCATCTTGGGAGTTGGGCTTTCTGTGTGAATGGTTGTCTCACCCTCGATGTGACTGGCCTTCACTGTGGCTAGTGGGTTTGCAAAATTGAGGAGGGCTCCTGTCACTGTCCTGTTGTTTATTTTTGCAATCTGTTCAGAGAACACCCATATCAGGAGGCCCTTAAAAAAAATCCTCCTCCTCCTCTCTTTCTCTTCTTCTCCTTTTCCCCTTCCTCTTTCTTTCTTTCTTTCTTTCTTTCTTTCTTTCTTTCTTTCTTTCCTTCCTTCCTTCCTTCCTTCCTTCCTTCCTTCCTTCCTTCCTTTCCTCCTCCTCCTCCTCCTCCTCCTCCTCCTCCTCCCTCTTTTTCCTCCTCCAGAGAGTATTTTACATAAAGTGAAAGCCATTCTAGCATCATTTTTGTTTCCAAGAATGTCTTGAGGCATCAAGGATAGCTTAAAGCATCCTGATATTCTTGGAGGTTGAGAGAAAGCATTGATGAGCTAAATGCACCTGTTTTGGGCCCAAAACAGCCCTTTGAGAAATGACAAAACTTTGTGTCAGCCACTTTATGAAAGGGCCCATACTAGATTTGTCGACTGTCTTAAAAAGATTCACATTTAAGCTGCATAAAGGTTGAATAAGGATGTTGTTCTCTCTGAGTCATTTGTAGCCACTTTTTCAACCACCTTTACATTATGTTTTCTCGTGATCTTTTTATTGCCTGCTGTGAAAGGATCTACAGAAGTGGCATGTGTGTGAGGCTGCATTTTTGAACTGTTAAAGAATCCTCGTTGCTCTCCCATACTTTCTTCAGCCACTTAACCAATTCCAACATCCAACCAATCAATTATCATCCAGATTGTTGTCAGACGGTGAACTCCACTATGCTTAAGGACTTGGAAAAGACAGACCATGAATAAAGATAGTAATGTATGTCTGAGCCTAGTCCGATGTGAAAGAAAAGTTTGACCAGAGGCAAGAGCAGTTCAAGATATTCTTCATATGTTTTGCTTGGTCATGGTTGGATAACAAGAGATCTGCAAGAAAGCCCTACCCCATTTTCTGCCTCCACAGCATCCTAGGATTGTGCCATTAAATCTCATGTTTTTTGTTTATTTTTAATGTAAGGTCTAAAGTAGATTTATGAAGCATATGTTAGGCTTAATACTGTGACTTTGCTTTAAACCTTCTCTAACTTTCCTAAAACTAATGTAAATACACTTTTGGTCCTACCCCTGCCAGTGACTGATTGATTGCTAAAACATATGAAGAATGGTTGCAGGAATTGGGTAGTCTGGTAAAGAGAAAGACTAGGAGTGACATGATAGCAATGTTCCAATATTTGAGGGGCTGCCACAAAGAAGAGAAGGTCAATCTATTTTCCAAAGCACCAGAAGCCCAGACAAGAAACAATGGATGGAAAACTAATCAAGGAGAGAAGCAATCTAGAACTAAGGAGAAATTTCCTGACGGTGAGAACAAGTAATCAGTGGACTTCTTTGTCTCCAGAAGTTGCTGGTGCTCCAACACTGGAGGCTTTTAAGAAGAGACTGGAAAGCCACTTGTCTAGAATTGTATAGGGTCTCCTACTTGACAGAGGTGGCATTCAGCTGGTTCTGACCAGTTCTGGAGAACTGAGAGGGAAATTTTGAGTAGTTTGGAGAACTGGCAAATACTACCTCTGACTGGCCCCGCCCCATCTGTTCTCTGCCTCCCGAGTCCCAGCTGATTGGCTGGGTCTTCTTTTGTTGCCCTGTACAGCTGGAAAGCAGGTTAGTGAGGTGGAGAGGAAATGGGGATTTTGCAGCAAACTTCCCCCAAGAGTGGACGGGAATGGAGATTTTTCAGGATCCTTCCCCTGACATGCCCACCAAGCCACACCCACCAAGCCATGCCCACAGAACTGGTAGTAAAAAAAAGTCGACCAGGAGTTGAATTAGAAGACCTCCAAGGTCCCTTCCAATTCTGTTATTCTGTTCTGCTGTTCTGCTATTATTCTGGGGTTATTCTGATCGATTTTGATTTGATTTGATTTAATACGTGTGCCACCCATCTTATCTAGAGGAGCCAATATTATTTCACTGCCATCTCCCCTCAGAGCCTGTTAACAAAACGGAGCCACCTCTCTGCCAGCAAAAGATTGTCCAACTTGTGTTGGTCTTGCAGTCATTATTTCAAGATCAACACTGATTGATCTTGCAGTATCGGAATATAGGTTATTGGAATATAGTCCGGGAGCAAGAAGAATTTTTATCTTCTGAAAACTTGTTGACAGCTCCTGATAGATTAACTTATTTATTGATTGATGAAATTTGTTTGCCACCTACCTCGTCTCCAAGTAATGACTGATAGCCACCCAGAATTTCCTTTTGGGGGCATTAATTGTCTTTTCCAAAACAGCAAATACAAATAGATGTGATAGAGAGTGTCCTTCAGTAGCAGGAGAATGTTTATGTTGGAAAACCAGAACGTTCTAACTGGTAGTATCTCCCACAGCGATCGTTTTATGAATGGGCAGTTTCCTTCTGACCACAACTATTTTGGGGCTTTCCTTACAGCGTGTTCTCAGCATTCCAGAAGTGTTCTCCAACATACAAAGCCTAGAGATTCCTGAGGATGGGGCCAACATGCAGCTTACTGTCTACGGTTGGCCAGACTCCTTCTTAGAAACCAAGATAGGGAGCAGAAGCATAATTGAAGAGCAGGCCAGGTCCATGCAAAAGCCTCCTTTGGCATTTGGGAAAAACAAATGTTCTGATTTTTAAATTCAGTGGGAGGGCGTTGATTTCACCACATTTAAAAATGAAATGTAGGAAACAGAAGAGATTGTCCACTGAAAAAAAAAATCTTCTGGGTTTTATCTTCTATTATTCCTTTGAGATCTAGGTTTGGCTTTCTGAGAAGTCCACCAGACAAAAGGTCTACCCACAATGCCCACAGATGCAGAAACGTTGTATTAGTCATGGGGAAAGGAAGATGAATAGCAGGGCAAGAAAGTCTAAGCCAAAACCAGTGGCCAACTATTGTTAAGGAAAAAAGAGCCACAATATCACCTTCTCTTTTATTATTTCTTCTGGGTAATGATGAGTAGATAAGAAATAAAATGAAGATATGAACCAGCAGTCCAATGATCTTTGTTGTTATATCTATTTTATGCCAGGTTTGGAGAAGTTGTAACTTATCAGGAAACTTAGTATAAACTTCAGCAGCCAGGCTGGTTTCTGGGAGATTAACTTGGTAGGTATTCTCAACTTAGATACCAGGTGGGACTAGAATTCACAGTCTCCTGGTGATTGATCCAAAGTAGGGGGTGGGCTGCAATTTTTTTTAACAGGTTCTCTGGCTGGCTAGGCATGGCCAGTTCGTCATGTGAATGGGTGGGTGATGTCACTCATCACACCCAGCCCCGCCTCCTGGCCACTTGCCCCAAAGGAACAGGTAGGATTCAGCTGGTTGGGGCTAATCCCACCCCCTGCCCATTTTTTGGCCTGTTTTTGGCCATTTTCAGGTCATTTCTGGGCTGTTTTCAGTCTGTTTTTCAGGCTATTTTCAGGCCATTTTGTGGACCATTTTTCGGGCCTTTTTCAGGCCGTTTTTGGTTTGAAAATGGCCCCAAAATGGCCTGAAAATGGCCCAAAAACCAGGCTGAAAAATGGGCAGGGGCCAGCCAGTGGTGGGATTTGCCAGTTTGCCAAACCGCACCTAATCTTAACTTCCGGTCCACCAGAACTGGTGCAAACCAGCAGCAGCCCACCTGTGATCCAAAGTCACTTAGCTGGCTTTCATGCCTTAGGTGGGACTAGAATTCATGGTCTTCCATTTTCTAAACTGGTGCCTTAACCACTTGGACAAAATGGCTCTCATTTCAGCAAGAGAGACAATTATCAAGATAGTTGATGGACTTCCCTTCACTGGAAATACTCAAGTGGAGAATAGAAAGCCACCACCAGAGACGCTTTTTGCTTTTGATTCCTGCACTGACAGGATACTTAGATTCAATAGCCACTATACAGATTCTATGATTCTGTAAGATCTCCATGGTTGGTAGCATGTGACTGAATGATGCCTTCAAATGCCATCAAATTAATGTTGACTGTTTGGTACTACAGGGATCGATTTGCTCCAGGAGGATCTGCTCCCAACCTGATCCTTCTGGTCTTTCCAACAGTGTATCTTTCATCACTGTAATTGAGTCAATCTATTTTGCAAATGGTCATCCTCTACCTCTTCTTCTTTCCATTTTTTCCCATGATCATAGACTTCTTAAGAGAACTAGATCTGTGCATGATATATCTGAAGTGAGATCATTTGAACCTATCCATTTTGTGCCTTGAATAAGACGCAACATGCAAAACCTATCAATAATAATAATGTGTGAAGTGAATGGTTCATTCATTCTGGAACATCATGAGTGGGATTTTATCTGAACAGTATCACAGCTGTTAAGGTATGAGTCACATGGTTTAACACATTGTGGGAACCTCATCACTGGAGGTTTTCAAGAAGAGATTGGACTGCCAGTTGTCAGAAATGGTGTAGGGTCTCTTGCTTGGTTGCGGGAGGGGTGGTGGTGGATTAGATGACCTGCAAGGTCCTTTCCAACTCTGTTAATCTGTTTGAATGGAATTTGACATAGATGGAGAGAGAAAATGGTGGCTAAAATTTGCACAGAATCCACAACAACAAAAATGTAATGGAAAAAAAAAATCCAGTCGAGGAGCTACAACTCCCATTATCATCATAATAGCCAAGAAAGGAAAGATTATCAGAATGATGGGATCTCCTACATACTCATTCCCAAGCTAGTGTTCTCCAGATGTGTTGGATGACATCATTCATAATTTCCAGCCAGAATGAATGATAACATAATGGATATTGTAGTCCAACACATCTGAAGAACACCAGATCGGAGAAGGCTAATTATTAGACAAGCTATGGGTCTCAAGGATTTTAATATTGTTAAAAAAATTCTTACTGTAATCAAAAACAGGTATTCATTTCAAAAAGATGGGGTTTTTTTTTTGAATGAAGTCTATTATTTCTCCAAGGTGCCTTTAATAGATAGCTCTGCTTCCACTTATGCTCATTCACTTTCTGCTTTTTCTTTTTGCATCTAGCCAACTGATTCTTCAAAGCCACATTTTATTTTCATTTGGTCCATTGGTGCAGAGCAGGTCCAGGTCTCTTTCATATTCATGACAATCACCTATCCCAGCTAGAATGTGGTTTTCCGTCTGTCTTTGTCATTTAAATAGATTAAAAACAGGACTGCAAGTTCAAGAAACAGAGCCCAGCAGGGAGAAAATGCTTAATGTGGAGAGTTTGCTTGAAAGGATTGTGTTTTCACTTGAATGCTATATATCTAGCAACTGGTCCAATTTTATTTATATACACGTAGTCCTTAAATTATGACCATAATGAGCCTGCCCATTACAGTCATAAGGCTTGTAAAATGGATGACCCATGTGACTGATTTTATGACTTTTTTGGGCAGTGGTCATTAAGCAGGGGTAGGATTCCACCAGTGTAACAACGTGGTGAGTGTGTCTTTCACGTGCACGCAGCATTATAAAAAGGTTTTAAGCTCTAATACTTACTTTCTGCTGCAGTCCCAGTGAGTAAATCAGCTGAGGCGTGGGAATCCCCTGTGCCGTGTGAATCAGTTGAGCTTAAAACTCCGGAAATAAAGGACAGAATAGAACAGGGGTGGATGGATGGGGCCAAATCATCACTGTAAATATCTGTTTGCCCGAACTGTCCTGAGCTGGTAGAATCCCACCCCTGTCATTAGATAGAATTTTTTATTGGCCAAGTGCGATTGGACACAAAAGAAATTTGTCTTGGTTCATATGCTCTCAGTGTACATAAAAGAAAAGATACATTCATCAAGAGTCAAGAACCATCAGGTACAACACCTAATAATAGTCATAGGGTACAATCAGCAATGGGTGATAAGGAGAGACAAGAAGACTAATAGTAATAGTAATGCAGACTTTGTAAATAGTTGGACAGTGTTGAGGGAATTATTTGTTTAGCAGAGTGATGGCATTCAGGAAAAAACTGTCCTTGTGTCTAGTTCTGCTGTGCAGTGCTCTATAACATCATTTTGAGGGTAGGAGTTTATGTCTGGAATGTGAGGGGTCTGTAAATATTTTCACAGCCCTCTTTTTGACTCTTGCAGTATATGAAGGCAGGTTGATAGTAATTGTTTTTGTTGAAGTCTGTGTCTGTGTCTGTCTTGTTGGGTTGCAGAACCAAACCAGACAGTTATAGAGGTGCAGATGACAGACTCAATAATTCCTCTGTAGAACTGTATCAGCAGCTCCTTGGGCAGTTTGAGCTTCCTGAGTTGGCGCAGAAAGAACATTCTTTGTTGTGCTTTTTTTGATGACGTTTTTGATGTTAGGTCACGTGTGTTTTGACTGTTAATTTTGTCCGTGCAGTGTAGAATCTTGAAGAGCAATTCTACGCAACTGAAAGGGCAAACTCCATTCAATTCAGTAGGAATTTGCGTCTACTTCGGATTGCACTCTGGCCATGTAGTTTTTCCAGTGTAATTACGGGCAGTCCTCCACTTACAATGGTTCATTTACTGACCAAAGTTACAAAGACCCCGAAAAAAGTGACTGATGACCCTTTTTCACACTTACAACCGTTGCAGCATCCCCATGGTCACGTGATCAAAATTTAAATGCTTGGCAACTGGTTCATATTTATGACGGTTGCAGTGTTCTGGGATCATGTGATCAGCTTTGGTGGCCTTCTGACAAGCAAAGTCAGTGGGAATTCAGATTCACTTAACAACCAGGGTACTAACTTCAAGTCAGGGTTCCAAGTAATGCGCCCATAGCAACCATAATTCCGAGGCAAGCAGGTTCCTCAAAGAACAAGTTTATTGGACATATCATATTGGCACAGACTGGTGAAAACTCTAAAGTTCCTGTGGTTTTCTCCTAATTAAAAGTAAAGTCCCCCACTTTCCCAAACAATCAGTCACATGGTCCAATCAAGGTGCTGTCCAGTTGCTAGGAAACTTCACTCCTCCTCTTTTCAGCCGCCTGTGGGAATGTCCTTGGTTCTCAAGGGAAACTATTTTGTTTTGGCTACAAGATCCAAGCTATCTCTGTTCCCCACTCCCAATTCCTCAGCACCATTGTGGCAACACTGAAGCCTCCAAGATGGCCTTGGTCAGGTCAACTTCAGAGCTGACACTTAACCAATGCAATGATTCACTTAACAACTGTGGCAAGAAAAGTCGTACAATGGGACAAACTCACTTCACAACATAAATTTTGGGCTCAATTGTGGTTGCTTCTCAAGGACTATCTGACTGATCTTCTGTTGCATTTTGACCTTCCGGAATTTCAGCTCCACAGCTTTTAGCATGTACTTTCCAAAGCAAAGAAAGAAAAAAAGAAAAAGAAAGGATCTTATTGCTCAGGCAACATTGATGTTGGAGAATATCAAGCATGAACAGATTTCCTTCAACTTTATACTTCATGGTTTACTTTTGCTTCCAAAGGGTTTTGCTTTTATTTTTCTTTGGCCATTTAAAAAAAAAATCAGAGTCTAAGGAAGAACTGTTGTCCAAGTAAGAATCACAGACAAGGCCCTTCCTAATTCCCACTAAGATAAAAGGAGAGAGAGAGAGGAAGTACATTCATACTTGTAAGATTCTGTAACCATAACCTTATAATAAAAGTAACATTAGCATGCATGACTTTAATTTCCTAGTCTGGTTTACCTTGAAGAGTTGACAGCATTATGGCATACAGCCAGTGGTAAGATTCAATTTTTTTTACTACTGGTTCTGTGGGTCTGGTTTGGTGGGCGCGGCTTGGTGGGCGTGGCAGAGGAAGGATAGTGTAAAATCTCCATTCCTACCCAGTCTAGGGGAAAGGTTACTTCAAAATCTCCATTCCCTCCCCATCCCACTAACCTGCTTTCTAGCTCTGTTCTCCTGTGCAGGGCAACCAAAGAAGACCCAGCTGATCAGCTGAGACTCGGGAGGTGGAGAATAGATGGGGGCGGGGCCAATCAGAGGTGGTATTTGCCGTTCTCCAAACTACTCAAAACTTCCGCGACTAGTTCTCCAGAACTGGTCAGAACTGGCTTAATACCACCTCTGCATACAGCCTGGCTATCGAAAGGACTATCTGTAGACAGCCAGTTTGGTCCAGTGGTTAAAGCACCATACTACAAACCAGGAGACTGTGAGTTCTAATCCTTCCTTAATGTCTTTGGAGATCCCCAGTCATCCAGCTCATGGTTGTCCAAAAATGTTTTTTTTTAAAGAAACTGGACTTTTCTTTTGTTTTTGTCCTTGAAGATATTTCGCTTCTCATTCAAGAAGCTTCTTCAGTTTCCACCACCACCATTCAGTCAGAACTGAAGAAGCTTCTTGGATGAGAAGCAAAACATCTTCAAAAACCAACAAAGAAAAGTCCAGCTTTGGGATAGTCCCTTCTTTCACATGAAACATAGAACATCGAATCATAGGGTTGAAAGGGCCCTCAGAGGTCCTCTAGTTCAGCCCTCTGCTTAAGTCTCCTGCCAAAGGAAACTTATACTATCCCAATCAAATGATTATCCAGTATATTTTTGAAAACCTCCAATGAATGGGTGACTTAAAGCCAGTCTCTCCTTCTCAGCGTCTCAGTCTACAACATCAGGCTCCAGCGACAAACCAGTCAGTCAATTCCTATCACAATCGATGGATGAACTCTCAGTTGATCTGAAAAAAAGAGAGCAGACTTTACACTTGTGGCAAAATACCAGGAAGGGGAAATAAAAACAAACAAACCCTGTCTTCTCTGGTTTTTGCCCAGTTTGTACACATGCTCAAATTAAAACAACTCAGATAATCTCGATTCCAACTGAACACATTCAGAAGTCTATCCGTGCAGTTTTCCTTTTTTTTTTCTTCTTCATCTGAGTTGGAACTGGATTTAAATTAGTCATAATGAATTTGTCCAAACTAAATTTGCTGGATTTACACTAAGTCTGAATCTCTTCAATTGTGCATTCTCCAAGGTGCTACTGAGTTTACTGTGGATGTGTGTGTGAGTGTATGCGTGTGCATCTATATATCTGTTTGTGGAAGAGTCTGTTGTTAGTTTATTTGTGGGGGGCGGGGAGCTTTTTTGACAATTAAAAAAATTCATCCCCATCCTCTAAGACAGGGGTTTCAAACTAGATTTCTTCGAGGGCCGGTTCAGCACTGTAGTTCTCCTCCATGGGCTGGGCGGGAGGAGACGGGATGGACGCCTTCTGCACGCCCCCCCGATGACCAAGATGGGGTATGGGGGGGGTGCATTCACCCCCCTGTGCTGTTTTTGGCCTGGAAGGCCTAAAATGGGGGTTGCTGCAGGAGACCATCCAGGCTGAAAATGGGGCAAGGGGGTTTAATGCGCCCCCCGCGCCCCTGTTTTCACTAGCAGAGGCGCTGCAGGCCAGTCGTTTGCTATTTCCAGGCCACCCCCATGGGCCAGATTTAAACACCCTGCTGGCTGTATCCATCCCGCAGGCCTTGAGTTTGATACCCCTGCTCTATGATGATATATCAACTTTGCAATCTATTCAGTCTACCTGTTGTAATCCTGCTTAATTCTTTGGAAATGAGCCAAAGTTTAATTGCAATTTTTGCACGCAATGCTGCAAACGCACACTTCAGTAAATTTTAGAAAATATGCCAGATCTCTCTCTCTCTCTCTCTCTCTCTCTCTCTCTCTCTGAATACAGCTGGGAGGGACCTTAGAGGTCTTCTAGTCCAACCCCCTGTTCTGGCAGGAGACCCTATACTATTTCAGACAAGTGACTGTCCAGACTGATGAAACATCTACAACCTCTGAAGATAAGCTGTTCTACTAGTTAATTGTCCTCACTCTTAGGAAGTTTCTCCTTAATTCCAGGTTGCTTTTCCCTTTGATTAGTTTCTATCCATTGTTTCTTATCTTGCCCTCTGGTGTTTTGGAAAATAAATTGACCTCCTCCTCTTTATGGCAGCCTCTCACATACTGGAATGCTGCTACAATGCTCAGTCCTTATTTATCTAGACTAGCCAAATCCAAATCCCGCAGCTGTTCTTCATATGTTTTAATCTCTAGGCCTTTAATCATCCTAGTTTCTCTTCTCTGCACTTTTTCTAAAGTCTTAACATCTTTTTTGTAATGTGATGACCAAAACTGGATGCAGTATTCCAGGTGTGGCCTTAAGGCTTTATAAAGCGGTACTAATACTTCACATGATTTTGATTCTATGCCTGTGTTTATACAACCAAGTATAGGAAGTTAGCATCCACCCCACTCCTAGAAGAATGAAATATTCTAGAAAATATTAAAAAGGCAGAATATTATATTTCCCTGGATGAAAAATGGAGAAACATGTTTTTTAGGCAGGAAGTAGACTCACTCTTAATAGCCCCCACCCTCCTCAATAGCCCACAGCAGATGTCAGCACTTAAGAGATAAAGAGATGGCTAGATCTATTCATAAGCAAATGCCCTCACTCAAGATCCTTCAGGGCAAGCCATTAAGCCATAATAAGAATTGCCCAAAGACCCTTCATTAGATCACCCAGCAAGATTCAACCAAGTTTCGGAATCAAGACAACCTACAAAGTTACCCTGCATGGCCCCATGGAAGTCTGACAACCAATCAGGATACATTTCTTGCCACCGGAGTGGGAAGCAAGTTCAAAGCCCAAGAGAGAGTATAAATATATTTCACCCTCCACTCCATGTGGTCAGTTACCCAGAATCAAACGTCCTCTGTGGTTCTGCTTCACCGTTAAATCATCGTTCCAATCAACCTCCATGTTTCCAGTGTCTTTCTTCCCACTTGAAACTGAACGCAGATGGATATTTCTTCCAACACAAGGATCGTATTAGCTTTTTTGGGCTGCTGCCACACACTTCTGGCTCATGTTTAATTGATTGTCCACTAGAACTCCAAGATCCCTCTCACAGTTACTGTCCACAGTCCAGGAGTGGGCTGCTACTGGTTCGCACTGGTTCGGGTGGACCGGTTGTTAATTTTATGGCCAGTTCACCAAACTGGCAAATCCCACCCCCGGCTGCCCTGCCTGCTCCGCTCCTCCCAGGAGTCCACGCAGAGTCCATTTTTGATTGCTGGTAAATGCAGTGCGTGTGCAGAGGCTTGTAGAGAGTGAAAATTTGGCCTCCCAGAAGTTCTAGAAGGCTGGAAACCTGGAGGCCATTTTCACCCTCCCAGAGGCTTGAAGAAAGCTTCCGGAGTCCAGGGAGGGTGAAAAACAGGCCTCCTGGGAGTTCTAGAAGACAGGAAATGGGTCCATTTCTGGCCTCCAGAGGGCCTTTGGAGCCTGGGGAGGGTGAAAATGACCCCCTGCGGCCCGTTTTTGCTCCCAGGTCAGGCTAGTGCCAGAGGCCAACTAGGCCACGCCCACCCAGTAACCAGGCAGAGCCCACCCCTGCCAAGGTCCTTCTCGCAGTTACCTCGCACTCTCAGTTGTAGATTGGATAGGATTTATAAACTTTACATAAGTGTCTCCTCCTACTTATGGCAAATTAAAGAGCGAACATTAGTCTGTCTCAATCTGCTCCTGTTTTAAGGCTTCCAGACAGACTGAGGGACCTCTTCCTTGTCTCATGGCTTGCGAGACACCCAGATTTCATTTCTTGGAGATGAGGACACAATGTTGCCTTGTTTTCTGACAACCTTTGGCAACCTCTTCTTCTGGACATCTATAAAACTGTGAAGATAAGGCCATTTGCAAGAAGCATGCCTTGGCATTACTGTCTAACTCTTCTGAAGAAAAGAAAAATACTTCTTTATATATTAATGAAACAACCCCTCTCCAATTGTTATTTTATGGGCTTTTCAGAACTGGTTTGATAAGTGACCTGAAGTTCATGATTTTTCTTGTTTTTAGAAATAGTGAAATAGTACAGGATGAACTGAGAAGAAACTAGCCAACTGGCCAAAAGGACAGGATGGTCTCTCCTCCTACACAAAAGACAAACACAATGAGATCATCTGTCTCCCCCCCCCCGCCCCGCCTAAAAAAAAAAAAGAATTTCAGGTTGCTTTGAAAGAGTAGCCTTTTTTCGGTATGTTCCTATTGGCACTTTTTATGAGAGGCAGAACTGGTTCCTCCACTTTTGGGGGATGTTTTTCTAAGTTGTTTCTAGTGGGAGCTGTTTGACTATCCTTCTTCAGCATTTAGCTTCTTTCCTAAAAATATAGGATCTGGATCCACTCCTGTAATGCGTTGCCCAATACAAGTTTACGTTTAACTTAAAAATGAGTGAACAGTGAAAGAGTTGCACTCACGTTCATTTTATGTTAAAACGAATGTCCTGAAAAGAAAAAGCAAGTCAACTTATTTTCATAAGTTGAAATAGTCTTCGCAGGGTTACATTTGGGAAGCTGGATTCTAGAGCGAGCGGTAAAATAATTTGAAAATGTCTTCTCATTTGGCTGGAAAACATGCAAGCAAGAGAAAAGCTGAGAGATTTTCCACTGAATTATTAGGAAGTAATACTAATGCAGTATCGGGGTTTTTCAATTCAATTGTAGAATAGAATGTGAAGGATAGGTGTTTTTTGTTTTATTTTTATAGTTTTCTTATGTATGATATACACTGAAGATGGCATTTAATTTCATTGCATGAGGCGCAGTGACAATAAAGTAAACTAAATATGAGGGTTATTTTACTTCTTCATTGCTTCTAAAATGGAGACCTTTTGTGAGCTCCAATTACTTGCCCCAGCTTCTGCCCAACTAGCAGTTTAAAAGCATGCAAATGCAAGTAGATTAATAGGTACCACTTCGGTGGGAAGGCAACAGCGGTGTTCTATGTGCCTTTGGCATATGCTGGCCACATGACCGTGGAAATTGTCTTTGGACAATGCAGGCCAAGAACATGAATACCAGGCCCTGACAGGGAAACCTTTATATAAACAATACCCCAAAGAACTATTAGCTCAGATGAACAATCAAACAAGAGGCCTGACAAAGGAACCACCTTCCTTCCTTCCTTCCTTCCTTCCTCCCTTCCCTTCCCTTCCCTTCCCTTCCCTTCCTTTCCTCTCTCAGTATCCAAATGGGAGACAAAATTAAACAGAAGTTTCTACTGACTTAGATAATATTATACCACATTATCTACCAACAATCTTGTTTCCCACATAAAGGGTTTTCCTTTATGGTGCTGGTTGATAAAGCCTTCCTGTAGTTACAAAAAAAAGTCATCTCCAGAATTAATTTAGTGGTTCCTGTTTGCAGTGCAGTGTTTTATTACCCATTTTATCCTTTTCTGTTGATGTCCACCATGAGATATTAAGAATGAATAGCTTCTTAATTTTTCTGTGAATGGCTTTTCTTAATTTGCTCTAGTATCAGGTTTCTGGTCTCCGGGAGAAGAGAGAAGTCTTTAATTACTAATTTCCTCTTGCTATTTTCAAAAAGGCAAAGTAGTTGATATAAAACAATGCTCCACTTATTTGCTGGAAGCAATCATTCCTAAAATGGAAGCCATTTCATACAGTATTTCCCAGAGTGTAAATTCTCCTGCATTTGTTCTGCTTTTTTGTTTGATGGAAGAGATAGAAATTATCTCAATTAAGGAGATTGTGATGAAAGTCTGATGGATGGAACGCTGAGTTCTTGGAGTTATTTGATCTCATGGCACACTAAATGTAGCACAAACATGTCCCAGTACAGGTAGTCTTCAACTTAGTGACCGTTCAAAGTTACAACATTAAAAAAAGATTGACTTAATACCATTTTTCACACTTGTAACCATTACGGCATCCCCGTGGTCGCGTGATTTACATTCAGATGCTTGACAATGGACACAGATTTCTGATGTATGATGACCCAGGGTGGGATACAAAACAAACACAGCCACAGAAAACAGGTGAAGCCCCTTTTATTCCTTCACTTTGCTTCCAAGCTCCGAATATTCTTGATGGAAGCCAAAAAACTCCCACAGAAACAGTTACAAGAAGAAGGGAAAAAGCAACACAAACCAGGCAAGATAAGGGCTGGAGGATGTCCACAGATAACACACACCGGGAAGGACGCCAAACTCAGAGAGGAATCATAAATATTTCCACACATTGTTTCCAGTGTTCGCCCTTACGCAGGTCTGTCCTCTTATTCAGTTGTCACAGCTGCAGCCCATGAAGAGGATCAAGGCCCTCTCCTCCCAAGTAGGCCATGTGCCTCCCTTATCCTCTCCTCCCTGCATGCCCTAGGATGGATAGGGGATGGTCCTGGATCCTCCTCTGACTGCTCAGCCGGCCTCTGCCCTTTCCCAGCCTCCTCCACAACCTCTGGAGCCACACTTCTACTCCCTGTCGGCTGTTCCTCCTCTCCCTCAGAATCAGTCTCCACCAGGGGCATGACATGACGGTTGCAGTGTCTTGGAGTTATGTGATCCCCTTTTCACGACCTTCTGACAAGCAAAGTTAATGGGGAAGCCAGATTCACTTAGCAACTGTGTTACTTGACTGCAGGGGTGGAATTCAAAATTTTTAACAACCAGTTCTGTGGGCATGGCTTAGGTGGCGGGTGTGGCTTGGTCATGTGACTGGGTGGACATGGCTTGGTGGTCATGTTATTGGCTGGGTGTGGCCAACTCAATATCATTCTCATCAAGGCACGCATCTCCTTGCCTGGCCTCTCATGACTGTGGGGATGCTGCAACGGTTGTATGTGTGAAAAATGGTCATAAGTCACCTTTTTCAGTGCAATTGTAACTTTGAATGGTCACTCCACACAAGCAAAGTACCAGCAAAGGAGAGGAAAAAAACTCCAGAGAAGTTCCTGAGACAGGAAGTCTAGTCCTACCAAGAATGTAATAAAGGTTAACAGAGAGGCAGTTTCTGTAAGCAACACCAGAATGTTTCCTTCCTGCCTTCCTTACAGGATTAGGCCAGTAATTTCTTCGAACAACCAGTTCTCTGAACTGCTTAGAATGTTAACAACCGGTTCTAACAAATAGGTGCGAACTAGTAGAATCCCACCCCTGCTTCACTGTCACAATTACAGTTATTCACCTAATGCGGCAAAACTCACTTAACTACTGTCTCCTAGGTTTTAGGCTGCTGCAGGAATACAACTTCCCCTTTGGCTGTTGGAATAGCCACAGTGGTGGGATTCAAATTTTTCTACCACTGTGGGTATGGCTCAGTTAGCGTGCTTTGCACATGCACCACATGCACACTTTGTATATGTGCAGAGGGTTTGCTACTGATCTTCTCCTGTAATCCTGCCATCTCCCAGTGTGTTAAACAGCTGATGTGCAGCAATCCGCTGTGCCGCGTGAAGGAGCTGACCTTCAAAACCAGGAAATAAAGGTCAGAATAGAGTCCAGGTGGGTGGGCCCAGCAGCTGATCATTAGAGCAAACCGGTTTACTACTGGTTCAGCCAAACCAGGAACTACTGGTTCAGCCAAACCAGGCCAAACTGGTAGAATACCACCCCTGAATAGCCATAGTTTATAACAGATTTGTAAGGGACTTTGGAGGTCTTCTAGTCCAGCCCCTTGGACAAGCAGGAGACCCTATACCATTTCAGACAAATGGCTATCCAGTATCTTCCTAAAAACCTCCACTGATGGAGCACCCAGAACTTCTGAAGGCAAGGGATTCGCTGATTAATTGTTCACGCTCTCAGGAAATTTCTCCTTAGAAATTTCTCTCCTTGATTAGTTTCTACTTATTGCTTCTTGTCCTGCCTTCAGGTGCTTTGGAGAATAGGTTGACTCCTCCTTCTTTGTGGCAAACCCTTAGATATTGGAACATGCTATCATGTCACCCCTGGTCACATATAAACCATTTGTTATACCCAATTCCTGCAACTGTTCTTTATACGTTTTAGTCTCCAGTCCCTTAATCATCTTTGTTGCCCCTCTCTGCACTATTTCTAGAGTCTTAACATCTTTTTTTATGTTGTGGTGACCAAAACTGGATGCAGTATTCCAAGTGTGGTCTTACCACGGCATTATAAAGTGGTACTAACACTTCATGTTATTTTGACTCTATCCCCCTATTAATGTATCCAAGGACTGCATCAGACATGGTAGTTGGACTAAGCACTCCTTCTTAATTCTTTCTCTGTTCCACCTGATATTTGGATGAATAATGGGTGGTTGTTTTCCTGTAAGCAGGCAGCACTTCCTCAAAAAGGAAATGAAGCTATGGAAACCCATCAATTGCTATCCAAAATGTCCCACATTGAAACAATAAACCAGCCTCTTTATTGTGGTGGAATTGGGCTTTGCTTGAGAAATACTTGGGGAGTATTTCCTTCCTTGGAAAAACTTGGCAGATTTGTCCACTTAATTTTTCTCTCATGGAGAACTTGGTTTGGCTACTTGTAGCCCACTTTGGTGCAAACATAACAGAGGTGATAGTCAGTAGGTTCTGACCTGTTCTGGAGAACCGGTAGTGGAAATTTTGAGTAGTTCAGAGAACAGGCAAATACCGCTGCTGACTGGCCCCGCCCCCATCTCTTCTCTGCCTCCCGAGTCCCAGCTGATCAGCTGGGTCTTCTTTGGTTGCCCTGCACAGGAGAACAGAGATGGAAAGCAGGTTAGTGGGGTGGGAAGGGAATGGGACTTTGGAGTAACCTTCCCCTGCCACACCCATGAAGCCATGCCACACCCACCAAGCCATGCCCACAGAACTGGTAGTAAAAAAATTTTTTAAATCCCACCACTGAAACATAACCTATTTCACTCAACCAGAGTGGGTGTGTGTGTGTTATGAAATATCAAATTAAATGTGGGAATAAAATCACCACAGCAACTTAATGAGTTGCATTCACCCAACTCATGTTCTCCTGGTTTGGCCACAACTTTTGGGGATAGAAAAACCAATGCTAAACCAACTGCGCTACTTCAAAAATAAGGCAAAGCATTTTAATATCTATGTACCATCCTGAGAGGAAGAAATTTGTATCTCCAACTTGATAACATAGGACAGGCTACTCCATCACCTTTCCAAGAGAGAAATTCCACTATAATTTCTGACTTAGGATAGTGACTAAATTTTGGGCTGAATGCACAAGCTTCAAAGCCCACAGATGAGACTATGAGAGAAGAATCAAGGTTTCTTTTTCTCTTCTTAAGAACCAAGTATATACAGTAGTAGGTGCATCAACAGCAGGCAAATCTATTTCCCACACTAGATAAAATGATAAAACACAGTTTCCTCTGTTTATTAAAGTATCCGGCAGAAGTTGAAAGTAGTGAGCTGCTCTTTAAAACAAAACAACAAATACCAAGCTTCATCAAACTTAGCTACTTAAATTTAGGAGAAATCTTAATCTTTGAAGATGCTTATAAATATGTATAATCCCCTGGCATTTCACAGAAGAGTCTGATCTTTATTCTCTGTGGCCTAAGCAAATTTGGCCAACACAGAATTTAGGGAGTAACTTCCAAGAAGTTACCTAATACCTTGGATCACCTGATCAAGGTATTTATGTATGTACAGTATTCACAATACCTCTCTCTCTTTATCTGTCTATCTGTCTGTCTGTCTGTCTATCATCTATCATCATAAACCACCAATCTTTTCAAAGAATTTTCTTTGAGCAGTGTGGTGATCTAGTGGTGAAGACACTTGCCTTCCACTAAGAAGGCAATTTGCTGTGAACTCTGCATAGACTTCAGGAAAGGAATCCGGCCAGTAAATGCTGACTGACTCTATCTAGTCTCCCCAACTCTACCCCTAATTAAAGGATTACAGAGTTGTATAAAGGGAGATATTTTATTTATTTCTAAGCCATCCATCTCCTCAAAGAATTTTCCAGGTGATGTTCAATATAAGGCTGAATCCACTTTAACTACCCTGTTCCCTTTAGTGCTGGTTCCATGTAACAGACATCTTCATTCTAGGATATTCAACTTGGCTTATTTAGCAACATAACTTCTGATTCACCAGAAAGTGCCTTGAGGTAGTCAACGGCTCTAACAATGGGACAAAGGTTTGCATGAGTTTGCTTCCTTCCTTGGGTCTTGTAAACTTAACCTATCTTTGACTGTGACTCTCCAGCAATTGTAAGATCACATCTTGACAACATAAACAGCAGAGTCTGATAGCAGACAGCTTTGAACCTGCTGGCATATTTCTAGAAAAAAGTAATTTATTTTAAAAGCCAGGAAGGATGGATTTATGACCCCACTCGTGAAGCAAACAAACTTGCACCACTTGCAGTGAAAGAGGCTAATGGCTGTGATTTGATGGCAAGTCATTAAGAAACACTCATTGACAACCCCCCCCTTTGTTGACCCCCCCTCAAACGGTGGAGATTTGCAAGCAGAAAGTTCAGAGCAAACTACAGCAGTCATGGAATTTAATAAAGCCACTTTATGGCTGGTAGTTATTTGAGCAAATCAGAACAGATCTTTTGATTTTCTATCCCCTAAGATCCTGGCTGGAAGCCAACTTGGGTCTTAGATTATTCTTGTTTTGTTAACATTTTTGCAGTTCTGCCATCATGTTAAGGAAAACTCAGCAGACTCACCCTGAAGTTGTTGCAGTGTTAAGCCTCGACATAAACCTTCCATGATTTTGACTCAATAGCCTGGCTAGTTCAGAGTTGGTCCCAAATACTAGACAAACTGGAGAGGCTGAAGGCCAGAACAATCCACTTGGTTTAGTGCTGCTACAGCCAGTTTTTCCCCCCAAGTACTTTCCTGATGTGTTGGATTTCAATTCCCAGAATTCCCAATCTGCACTGCTTTGGAAATTCTTGGAACCGAAGTCCAACCTACCTGCAGGAAATTGCTGGCTTTAACTTGGCTTTTGGTCCTGTCCACAAATAAATGAAACATTATTAAGTGTAGGATGGAAACATCCATCTTGTTCTTTGTGAAGGAAGAGATGAACATGAAGCATCATGGAATGAGAGTAGATGATGTCAGTGTCAGGTAGAGGCCTCCTTACCTGTTTCAAAACTTCATAATGACTTCACATTTGTTCACCAATGGCATGAGGAGCCCTCTTGTCATTTTCTCTCTTTGGTTCTTATGTTAGCCTTTGGTACACCATCCTACCTGAGATCCATCAACCTCACCTCTCATGGCCCGTGTTTAAGTAGGCCCTCAAAATCTGTCTCCGTCTCCAGGCCTTGCAGGGTAGGAAGAAGACCCTTGTGAGAAGTTCCATTTGCTTAAGAGATTCTGGACTCTTTTGGGGTTATGTATTCAATGTATCTTTATTGTTCTTACTGTTGTATCCTATCAGCTGCCCAGAGGGGAGTGATGCTAGCTTGCCTCCTCATAGTGTACCCGGTTGTGTGAACTAAATGACTAGCAACAATTGTCAGCCAGACTTCATTGAAGAATTGACAGAATGACAGTTGGCTGTCAGACATCTTTGTAGAACTCCTGGCTCTCTAAAAACACGGCAACAGCAACAGCCAACTCTGAACAGGATCCATACCCAACATGGTGCCTGCTGGGACTCATTGTTTAAGTGAAGTCTTGTGTCTACCCCTCAGTGTGACTATGGTGCTCCTGGACAAAATATCCACCACATTGTGTTCCCGAATATCCATCAAGAGCTTACACTGGCCCAATGTCTGATTTTTTTCAACATAGACCACCCTGTCCTTGAATGGTTGGGTGGACTGGATATTAACATTTGAACCACCATAAGTCCATGTATTTACCATATGCTAAATAAATAAATAATCAATAAATAAACTCCCATAGAGGGGCAGCCTATTGAATAAATAAATCCATGAATACCAGGTAACCATAAACTTTGTGTAATTAGATGATCATGGTAAAGAGGGGAAGAAAGAAGGTGACAATGGAAGGTAAGGTAAGTTCTAATAGAGTAGGGTCAACCCAAGCAAGATGGCAGCCATGATCAATGTCACAAACACCTTAAAAAGGAGTGCAATGTGTAAAGTTTTGTCTAACTTTTGCTTGTTTGGATCCTTTTTTCCTTTCATCCCAATATTCAGTTGCTCCTGCTGCACCCTCCAAAATTCTAATCAAAAAGCCTTTGTTATTTTTCGAGAGTAAAAGCATCAGTTCACTCTAGTGGCTAAGGCATCAGGCTAGAAACCAGGAGACAGTAAGTTCTAGTTCCACCTTAGATATGAGAACTGGCTGAGTGACTTTGGGCCAATCACCAGGAGACTGTGAATTGTAGTCCTGCCTTAGATATGAAAACTGGTTGGGTGACTTTGGGCCAGTCATTCATTCTCAGCCCAATTCTCCTCACAGGGTTGTTATTGTGGGGAAAATAGGAGGAGAAAGGAGCGTTAGGCATGTTCACTGCTCTGAGTTATTTATAAAAATAATAAAGGTGAGATGTACATACATGTATACATACATACAACTTCAAATGTTGGATCTGAGTTCAGTCACATTAGTTGAAATGTATAATGCAAATGCCCTTGGAAAAGGAACTAATTTTTCAATACAGACCAGACCAGACCACACATGGAACTTAATGAAATTCACTCTCCCGCCCGCCTCCCCTTCAATAAACTTGCCACTTTCTTTCCTAGTCTCTTTCTTTTACAATGCATTGGCTCTATTTGTTTAATAAACAAAGAGATGATTACAGATTAAAATCTGTAAAATAAAATGGCAGGAAATAGATAATACATAAACCCACTGAAACGTGAAAGATAAGCTGTCTTAAAAAATGTGTTATATTTAAAAACACTCAAATGCTGGGAAGAAGAAGAAGGAGGAGGAGGAGGAGGAGGAAGAAGAAGGAGGAGGAGGAAGAAGAAGAAGAAGAAGAAGAAGAAGAAGAAGAAGAAGAAGAAGAAGAAGAAGAAGAAACCCATCCAAAATTAAATAAGATAGAAGCCAACTGAATTTTTCTTCTTCTCCCCCTAGGGAGGAAGTTTCACATTCACAGACAAGGGTCACCTCAGCGTCTTGGAAGACATTATTTCAGAAAGCAACTTGCATTTGGTAAGAGCTGAACAAAGATTGTTGTTTCCTCTCGGAAGCAAAGAGGTCTGACCATTTGCTGTCGCCTGCAGGCATGGGGCCTACACGGTTCACTTTCTTTCAAGTTCTGCAAAAGCCAGTATCCAATTTCAAGGCTTTAACGTATGAGTCAAAACTCTCACCAGAGATGGATTTCTATTCTGGGTTAAGCAACCATCTGTGAACGTATCTATTGAGGTTTAGCATTAGGCATGTACAAAGCTTATTTTAGAATTAATTTAAATATAGCTAGACAGTGGTGGGATTCAGCTGGTTCATACCAGTTTGCACGAACTGGTTTTTAAAATTACTCCCTCCCTCCGCTTTCAAAGTGGATCCTGGGCACTGAGCTGCAATAGAGAAACAGGCAACGGACCAGCCTGCATGAGGGAAGGAGGAGGCTGCTTTCCTTCTTTCTTCTCCCTGCTCCTCTTCCTTCCCTTGTGCCAGCCGCTCCATTTCCCATTTCTCCTTTGCAGTGCAGCTCCCAGGATCCACTTTGATAGCAGATTGTGTGTGGGGGGGGGGGGGGGGGGGT